GGGGTTTAAATGGTCCCTTCACCTGGCTTAGTCCACTTTCCAGGCGAATAGGAAAAGTCCCAGGATGACATGATTGTAAGCTGTGACTCAGAAACCAAACTGTGTGGCATAAAAGAAAGCAAGACCCAACGGCCTGGAAGCCCATCAGACTAGAAAGGTTGCACCTTTCCTAAATCAAGAATGTGACTAATTTGAATGAATTTAAATCAACGCTTAGTGGACTTCGCCTCATGATGCTAAAGGAAGTAACTGGAATCTCAAAAGACACTGGAAATAATATCTGCACAACTCTGGTATGACAGGTAAGGTCCCAGAGTACTGGGATGTAAATGTGATGGAGTAAATGGAGTGAATGGAGTAAATGTGATGCCCACTTTCACAAAAAAAAAAAAAAAAAAAGAAAAGAGAATACGGCAAATTAAGACCACTCAGTCTGACTCATTACCTGGGAAGTTCCTGAATCATCTTATAAAACAGTCAGTTTGTAAGTACAAAGGGGAGGAAGAGCCAACACACATTTGCTGAGAACAAAGTGAGCCAAACCAACTTGATTCTTCCTTTGACAAACTCATGAATTTAACACATCAGGGGAATGCAGAGGACATAATATGACAGACCTACATGCCATTCTCATATGTAAGTGGGAACAACATCAGTTAAACAGAATTACTAAGCAGGTGGAGAATATAACTGGCTGAACAACCTCAAGCAACGAATAAGTGTTAATGGATAGAGTCTGACTGGTAGGAGGTCTCAAGTGATCCACAGTCCTCTGGTCTGAGTCCTGTACTGTTAAATCCTTTATCAATAGACACAGAAGCACAGAGTGAGAGTATACAGATAACATTTACAGGTGACAAAGCTGGTCATGGTTGCAAACGCTTTGGAGGACAGGATTAAAATGAAAAGGGATCTTGATAAATTGGAGTGCTGGGCTAAAGATCACAAAATTAAATTCAGAGGCAAGCCACAGAGATGCTGCCCTATGGAATAACCAAATGCACAATTATACAACATGCTAAGAAAACTGTCCAGCAGTAGCACTGCCAAGCAGGATCTGGAAGTTATGTGGGATCACAAACTCAACGTGCATCACCAGCATAGAGGATGTTTGCCTACCCCCTTCACTTGCATTCAGAGGATCTCGGAGGTAGGAAGTAAACTTCTAGAGATACGGTTTGTGTATGGAATTTATATTAGGGAGCGGACAAAGAGCACACAAATTGATCTGCAGTAACCGTTTTGTTTGTCCACTGCTATCCCACAGTAAGTGCTGCTCAACTGCAGTAACTCAGCCCTGCATCAGTCTGGGGTAAGATGCCAGGTAACTTACATTTCCCATGCGATTGGAATAAAGTGTTAAAGCTGAACAGTGGTAAATTGCCTTCCCTTAAGAGAAAGGAAACACAAATACACAAACTATTTGTCTAACCTTGCCCTTAAGCTGTTTTATTTGGAAGAAATAAAACTTAAAACGGAGGAGGAAAGGCAAATGAAATCTTGTGGCTGCTCAGAGCTCTTTGACGTACTAGCCAGCAACCTTGACAGTCACAGGCAAAACAGAAATACTGACACAGGATTCTTTAATCAATAGAGATCTAAAGGTTAGGAATAACCAGTGCCAGTCAATACTGTTTTACAGAAAATAGGCCTCATCCAATAATATTACATTCTCCAATTGGTTTTATAAGTTTGATTAAGTAAGGCTGATTAAGTAATTGTACAGACAGACTTTTGTAAGGCATTTTTTGACTTGGTATCACCTGACAATGTTGTTGAAAAATTACCATTATGCAAAAAAAATCAATGAAGAACATACACAATGTATTAAGAACTTGCTACCTAAAAGTTTTCATATTAGTCATCAATGAAGAATCATCATTGAATGGGGGTGTTTCTGCAAGGGCACTGCAAAAAAATTCTTGGGACATTTACCATTAATGACCTTGGCACAAAGAAGAAGGGTATGCTAATGAAATCTGCTGCTGCCACAAAGATGTAAGGCATCATCAACACAGAAGAGCTGTCAAACTAACATACAGAAAGCACTGGATGACATCAAGGACATGAGTAACAGAAATGAAATAAAATTTAATAGGATGCAATACAATATACCACTTAGGGAGCAATAAAAAAAATTTCCGCTATACACTAAGGGATCGGTTGACTCATACTCACAGGAGAGTATGAGCCATCAAAGTGAAGTGGCTGTGAAAAGGGCAATCCTAAATTTTATCAGGATAGGCATTTCCAGTACCAATAGAAAAATATTAATTCCCTTGTATGATGCAACAATGAGACCTTGTCCGGAATACTGTGTAATATTCCAGTCACCGATATTCAAGACGCACTAATTTAAACTGGAACTGGTGCAGAGGGCTATTACAATAACCAAGGGAATAGAGGACCTTTTTGAAAAGGCAAAGGAGTTTAGCCTACTTAGACTACCAAAAGAATGGCTGAAATTGGACTCTGCTGTTCTCTATAAAACAATGAGGGGTGAGCGGTTATTTAAAATGAAACACGCTGCTGGCACAAGATCAGATAAGTACAAACTGGCCATGAATAAACTGAAGGAATTTGAAGACTCTCTAACCATCTGAGCAGCAATAGTACAGAACAGCCCTCCTGCCTGCAGAGGACAACAGCAGCATAACTAATAGGAAGCTTGATAAGTTTATGTGAGTTATTATATGTCTAAAACACAAGGGAGAAGACTCTGGCCTAGGAGGTTCCTTCCAGTCCTACATTCCTACTGATATGACACTAAGCCAGACTGCTACTACTGAACACTTTCATCAGTGATCTGGAAGTAAATAACATCACTGTTGATGAAACCTTACAGATGACAGAGTGGTTTGGCAAAGAACAGCGAATAATGGGAGGGTAGTCATACGATCAGGATCACTTGGAAGTGCTCAAGCAAACAGCATTCAGCAGAAGCAAATGGAAAGTTATATATCTAGGAACAGTGATGCAGTCACACCTCCAGAATTTTGTATTGTGTCCTGGAAAAAAAAAAAGGACTGTAAAAAGGATCTAGGAGGTCACAGTAGCAAGCAGCTGAATATGAGCTCCCAGTGCAATGCTGTGGCAGAAAAGACTAATGTGATCTTTGGTTAGTCAGCTGGCAATTTACTTCTGTAAATGCTATCAGGGAAATCAATACCAGAAAACTGGAAGACACAGGGAATAATAGTGAAGATGGTGCACACAATTTCCAGAAAAATTATTTGAAGGCTGAAGAAAATGTCTTGCAGTGAGAAACTGGAAGAGGTGACACAGCTTTCCTTATCAAAAAGCCAACTGAGGAGAAAATTTGTCTGTATACATCTCCACATGAAAAAAAAAATTACCGGATAATATAGAGCCTTTTAATTTAGCACAAAAAGGCACAGCAAGAATCAGTGGCTGGAAGCTTGGCTAGAATCTGATACCAAAAATTCAAATCAGAAACGAGCACTTTTCTTTGCTTTTACATTGAAGTTAATAAATCATTGGAGTGAGCTTGCTAAGGTCCAGAGACTAGATGGCTTTCCTGCACTGAGCTAGCAATGTGTTTTACAGAAGCTTATCTTCAGGGAAGCAAAGTAAAATATAATGGCCCATGATATAGAGGAGGTCAGACTACAGGATCTAATGTTCCCTTTGGACGTTACAATGAAATACTGTTACAGAAGGAACATTCATACACAGGATGCATTTAGGATTGCCTCTAGAAGAGGAGTCCTGTGTCGCTGAAGTCTCCTGAACTGCAAGAAGTTGTCTTCGCAGTGCCATGATTGCAGCACGGTGAAACCGAGAGCCGATACAAATGTTCTCAAAACTCTGCTTTTGTTCCCTGTTGAAAGAGGCACGACAGCCATATCTTGCCTGCAGTGCACCCCTAGCAAGAGCTGAGATTAATTAAACACAGCTTTCTTAACCATCCAGTCTATCTTCCTCAAAACCCCAACGCATTCAGTCCCCACAAAATCATGCATCAAGGGAAAAGGAAAGTAATATAGTTTTGAGGCTGCTGACAATTCAGTGCATCAGCACTAAGGGGAAAGGGCCTGAATCTGCAAGACTCCTTTAAGAATAAATGTTGTGTTGACTCAACCTCTCAGTATGTGCATGAGATTTTCCTCAGTGACCACCTGCAGGCCACCCTCCCTTTAAAGAGGTAACATGGAAACCTATTTATATGATTCAGAAACTAAATTAAGAATATGTTTGTTCCTTTGCTTCCCCAGAAGAGTCATTATTTAAATCTGATCTCTTAATAAGTTGCATACTGTATTTTCTCACATAAAACACTTTCTTTCCAAAAACCAGGTACTGGAAATCGGGGCATGCATTACAAATGAGGACACACAGCAGAGACAGTTTCTGCTGCTTAAGCTTCTTCCAGACAAAAACAAAAGTAACTCTACACATGATCAATAGAAAGCAGAACACTAAGCAGGCTTGACCCCCAGCTGCTGCTGCTACTCAGTTGGTTTTTTCCCTTCATTCTGCCTTTCAAAAAACCAATGTGCGTACCTTATTCTCAAACGTGTTGTATACGAGATAATATGGTATTTTATTTTATATTTTTAAAAAGAGTCGTTGCTATTAACTCCTCTGTGGACACAACAAAAGGTTTGGGGTTTCTGAGGGTAAAGAACAGACTAAACTCCAAAGCAAGGAACGTTTGATTGATACAATGTCTATTTCTACACAGCCGGGCACATTTTATGGCAAACGTTTTCCATCTTGGGCACCCACTCCTGGATCATTCAGCCTGTGATTAAGCACATTACCAGCGGCCTTGTTTTCTACCAGTAGAGGTTGTGGGTGCTCAGCACCACTGAAACTGAAGACATTTTTAGCATGTGTCTAAGTATTTTTGGATTTCTATTTTTAAACAAACATGTTAGAAAATGCGGTCCTGAATTTTTGTATTCAATATGTGATTTTTGACACCACTTGAAGGACTTATCTAAAAAATAAGTGCTTAGGACTTCAGAGCTGCTCACCTGACAGCCTCAGCTACGTTGTTGGAAGTGTGCCCCGATAAAGCATCGTGCAGATTTCGGATGAAGTAGTCTCTATAGTCTTCAGGAAGGGCCATGAATGTTCCTCCCATCACAATGAACTCCACTTTATCCACACTGTGGCCCAGCTGCTTCAGCTGGAAAAAAATAAATACATAAATACCAGAAGGTTACTTGTTGCTAAATTGTTAGAGAGTCGCAAGAAAAGTTTCAACTCCGAAATGAAGTGTATAATTAATTCCTCTTCAATACCAAGTTTTCATATTTTCCAGTTATAATGCCAAATCAATAATACATCAAAAGCAACAGTTTTGCTATAAATTTACCATGATATAAAAACGATCCTTCTACTGAAAGAGCATAAGGAGGACAATCTAAAAAGCACCAGTTCCAAGCAGCATTTAAGATAGCATCTTAAGATCCTACATTAGTAATCAGAGACTAATTAATTAACATTACATAATTACTAACGTAGGATCATTAGTAATTAGGAATGATTTTAAATTAATATTAATTAGATCCTACATTAGTAATTAGATACTAATTAGCATATTACTAATGTAAATCAAAGTTTAAAATTGATCATAATCTGGGTTTAGAAGAACTAAATCTTGTGAACAACTGGATCCTACAACTTACTGCACTGACAAATGAACAATGAGACAGAAAATGGGGGGGGGTTGGAGAAAATGCAGTGCGTGGGTGTGTGTATTTTGTGGAATAGGTCCACATCCCATTGTCTTGAATAAACGAAATTTCCCCCCCTAACCTGCAGTTTCTGCCCCCAAGCACCAGAAGCTACTACAGGGTAGCAAATGGCCATTTCTATTCCTCCTTTCTCTTCTCTTCTTCCTTGGATAGCAATTTCACCTCTTTTCCCATCAGAAGGGAAAGAAGAAGCATCTGAAGAGACAAGAAAAGAGGTGGGAAGAGGAACCTCAAAGGAAATAAGAAAGAGAGAAATAGAAGAAATTCTACAGTCAGGGAAAGAAACAGACAATAAGAGCCACTAGAGTTTGATCCCAAGTCCATTTGCTATTATTGAAGACTAATGATCAAGAGCTGGATGGGAACAGCCATAGGAAAAGGTGTGCAGATTTTAGGATGTTTTTCTAAAATGCTAAGTGTTTGATGTTGTTATAGGAACAGTTCACATAAAGCAAGAATAACAATAGCATTCTGATATGTCATCATTCCAATTTGCAAATTTACAAAAGCATAAAATCATCACATATAAAAAAAAAATCCAATATAGGGAACAGGAAACATTGGATTTTGTGGCTTCAACAATATCTTCAGGATAATTATTTTGAGGCCCTAATAATTAATAAGATCTTTTTTTTCCTTTTTAAAAAAACCTGAAATTTTAACAAAAAGAACAAGATGCCATTCAAAAGCTCTCTCTTTCTACGCCTCCCCCCATTCCTCAACATAACTGCCCTATATAAAAAATACTCTTTTCATTATGCCTTTCATTTTCACAAAACTCAGTGTTGTCCCTAGCATTGCAAATCATTACCTGTTCAACTCGATGCCTCGCCTGGAGATAAGGGTCATACCTGGCACGAATGGCCCTCATTGATGTTGGCTATGAAAAACAAAGAGGTTCATTTTTAAAGCTTATTTTTAACACAGAAGAAGAAAACAGAAATGTGTAAATCTTTAGCAAGTGGCTTCAAACTTCACAGACATCTAGTTATTAAAAATTCAAACTCTTAGGGCCTATCTAGTTGTAGTTTGCTAAAATTTAGCACATTTAAATCCAGTTTCTTAAACTGATGTTTTGTCCTGATGATGTCATCTGATTGAAAAAAAAGTTTGCCTTTAAATACTTTCTCCAGAAAAGGGCGAAGCAGAAATTCTCAATGAATGCAGCAACATGGTACCGGTCCTGATATTTTATTACTTTCTTTCCTCTAGGCTGACTTTAGTCCTTTTTCTCCCACAGTTCTTCCCGTGTAAGGAATGACATCTTCTCACTCTCAGAAGAAAGAATGCACTAGCTTATGAAGTGAAAAACCGCAGAGCTTGTTATGACCTATTACTAATATCACAGGAAAGTTATAGTCTCCTTTCCATTTTATAATGCACCCCATGCTCTCCATACCTTTCACGTTGCAAGCCCCTTGGGACAGGTATGACCGTTTTATCTTGTATGGTGTCAAACCCTCTCAGTGCTAAATAAATACATAAACTCCTGTTTCCAAGTAAGCATGAATAGGAAAGTTCTAGTTAAATAATCTCTATTTGGCACCAATTACTGGGTAACAAATTACTCAATCACTGAATACAGTGTATTAGCAAACAAACAAAATTAACAACCCAGGGACACTATATCCATGTCTACTTAGGTTTTATTTCTTTAGAGACGGACACATTACTTTAGTTTAGTTTGACACTTCATAACGCACTAGAAGATACAGTGAAACATATTTTATCAATATAATAGTCTTGGTAATTCAGTTTCTCACTATGGCACTGCTATTAAAATTTTGCAAGGCAGCAGGAGAGAAAGACATTCTGCGCTACACTGCATGTAAATTAGTGTGGCCTCGCTGCAAATACAGAAACATATTCGCAATATATGAAGTGGGGTTTGTCCAGAGGCATTAAATCAAGTGAGTTATTTCAAAGGTGAATCTTCTTGTTTTACTTTGAGATTTAAAATGCTTCAAGATCCCATTTTTAAACAGAACCATATGCGAGTTTCCACTGAGCCATTTTCATGGCCCACTGTGAGGCAAACAAATCACGCTGGCACTGGATGTCAAAGTTCAAAAGCATTTGAGAACAAGACAAAGAAGAAAACTAATCCATCTCAAAATAAAAAGAATGAAATTAAAAGGAAGACAAAGTTATCTTGAGCTTTTGAAAGATAGTGCAGGAAGTGTGAAAGATGCCAACAAAGTAGTCTAGAGAGAAAACAAATGTTAGAACTAATTCAAGTCTCCCAATGTAAAGAATGTCTTATAACATGGAAGGGTCCCCCTGGCTCCCTCCCCAATTCTTGCTACAAAGGAGAAGTACATGTTTAAAGAAAAAAAACTCCATAAAAATAAAAAGGAGCCTGTGTCCCTATTTCAAAGACAAATTGTGACACTACAGCACAACAGACAGTCACATTCAAGGCAGTACCTCATATCCAGTGTAAGACTGTGTTGAATATTCAAAATCAGAATCAGGCCCACCGGGGCAGTACCTGCAAATATAAAAAATGAAATAAAATAAAAATGAGGAGTTAGAGAAAACTTACACCCATGAGAAAGATAAAATAACAAAAAGGGTCTTTCAGTTTATCTGAGACTATTAAAGCTGCATTAGGCTACGATTTAAACACATAGACATTGACTTAAATGATTTGAAGAGGGGTGGAAATAGAGGAAAATTATAAGAAATCTAGACCTATCAAATGATTAGTTTAGGTGGACACAACTTTATACATTTCTACTTAAAAAAAGAAAAAAGAACAGCAAATGCATTCCATAATCCTGACATTTCAAATAAACCGAGAACGGCAGCCAGCTGCGTTTATCTGAAGTCAGGCAGAAAGCAGGTGGATTTACACCTCAGACTAACCAAATCAGAGATGTGTAGCTTCAGCTTTTGTGGGTCCCAGCTCTCTGATGAAATAAGCTCAGGCTCATGAAAGCTTATGCTATTTATCTCCCATTTCAAATAAGCCACATTTTTCATTTCAGAAAAACAGGTCTACAGGGTTGAACTAGAACAATTATTAAAAATGCAAGGCAAACGTGCAAACAATTCTAAACACGTAAAAGAATGAAATATTTTCCAAGCCTCAACATTTAAATAAGCTATCTTCTATCTAGAAAATGAAAATGACAGTTCCCAGTTTCAATTTCCACCAAACATTTAGGATGTCACATTTATACAAACATATAAATAGATATGACATCCAGTTACAGAAATATGCCTTTCACTCCCATCTATCGTTACAATTTTAATTATCTAAATATTGGAAAACCACACTGTATGCGTCATTCCATGAATTCTCAGACATATTGTTTAGTCAGCCAACATTCGAGCCATCCAAGGGTATTCATGCTGGACAATGATGCAGTAGCTGAATGTGAATTCCTACTACTAAACCCAAAGACTTTTCCTAAATTCATCTCTAAGACCAAGCATGCAGTTGGATTACCGAGTATCCTAGCATTGCCTAGTCAGGAAAGGCCTGGTACATTAGCTGCCTTCCACAGGAAATAGGTAACTCAAAGGAACACTGGTTCCTGTTTGTTCCAAATTATCTGCAGTTTACTTCTCAGGATTACAAGTTTCATGGTTAATTCAAAGTCCAAAGGTGACCTGTCACAGGAGTGTGGGAATTCCCTCAATTCTTGTAGTACATGTTGCACACCCCAACCACCAAGCTAACAGAGCAGTCATCATGCTACTAATTTACATGCAAAATCTTGACATTCCAAGCGACTAAAAATACCATCCAAATCAAAAAACATCTTTCACAGACGAACCTATGAACTTCACTTCATCAATCAATCTACTGGATACAAAAAATCATGGACTAAATATAGACCCTGGATTTATGACCCATTATAACAGAAGCAGGCAAAATACGGCCTGCAGGCTGAATCCAGCCTGCCAGGCCATTCTATCCAGCCTACAGGGCCCCTAAAAATTGAGAAAATTAATATTTATCTGCTCCTGGCTACCTGTCAAAGCTGACAGGAGACAAAGGCAGTAGGACCCAGGGGGAGCTGGCAGGAGCAAGCAACAAGGAGCAGGGGTACATGCCCATATGTGTGTGTAGTGAGGGGGCACAGAGTGCGTGTGCATGTGTAGTGAGCGGGCACAGAGTGTGCTCCCCAGATCTGTGCACAGGGTGAGGGCGGGCTGCCACTGGGGCCGGTGGCGGGGGCTGGGCCAGGGCTGCGCTCGGGCCAGGCGGCAGCAGCACTGGGAGGAGCACAGCCCCAAACTAAACCTACCTCCAGGAAGAGCCTGGCACTGCCCCCGGGCCCACTCTGCAGCAATAGCCCACCTTTGCCCCATGCACAGATCCGGGGAGCCACACGCCCTCCTGTACCTCCCCAGGGGGTTTACACAGTGGCAGGAGCCACATCACCCGGGCAAGCTGCTTGCGGCTCTGTCCAGCGCCTATTCCTGTTCCAGCCCCACTTCCTTCCTCACCACAGGGGCCTCAATCTGCCACCCTCCCCCCCAAACAGACTTACCAGCCAGACACTGCTCTCCAAGTTGCCAGGCTGCATATTGGTAAGTGTAGCAGCAAGAGCCAACCCCCAACTCCTCCCGGATCCCCCAAACGAGCTGCTCAGAGCTCTGTCCCATGCCCTGCTCCACCCCGGCTGGGCAACACCTGCCCCTGCTCCAGCCCCACTCCCTCCCTCACCACAGGGGACCTCAATCTGCACCCCCACCATGCCTCTTCCCTCCCCCCCGCCCCTTCCCCACAACAGACTTACCAGCCAGACACTGCTGTCCAAGCTGCCGGGCTGGCTGCAGGCAGGCTGCCGGCAGGCTGCAGCTGTACGCATGCACATGGCATTTACTGGCAACATTAATCGACCACATCAGGCAAAAAAAGCCAACCGCCAATAATGTCAATTTTCTTTTTATCGGTGCCAATATGATATGGACTGATGTATTTAGGTGGACCTCTATGCCTAACATCTGACTCCCCAGGTAAACCCTCCTTTTTACCAGCTACAGTAAAATCTCCAGTAACCGGCACCTTACAAGCTGGCATGCTCTGTTAACTGGCATGCCAGCTTGTAAGGAAAAGTGAAACCGGAAGAGCCCACCATGGCACTTCCAGGTTCTCCAAGCCCCCATGGCCCAGGACAAAGCGGCCTGCATTGCTGAGCCCCCATGGCCTGGGGGCATAACAGGCTACGTGGGGCCCACCTCCCTGTCCCACAGGAGGGGTGGCGACATCCTGGACACGGCGGGAGAAGCGGTGGCCAGAACAGGCAAGGACACCTGTTCGGGCTGCTCAATTAACTGGCATATTTTGTTATCCGGCATCCCCCATTCTCAGGGGATGCCAGATAACAGAGCTTTTACTGTACTTTTATTCCCTTCCCCTCACCTATTGACCAACCCAATTTACATTTTAAATGACTAGCCTTCTTGCATATGTACTGGCCTCTGGGTGCTTTACTACTCCGTTCAGGAAGATCACAGACCAACTGCAGACACTTCCTCTGCCTGACGAAGGGTAATTGTACCAGAAAGCTTGCAAAGAAGAATGTTTCCAATTATCTGAGTTGGTCTAATAAAAGATATTGGATTTACCCAAAGAGCTTTGTATGCCTTGAATCAAAATACATTGCTGATCCTTCTCTTTGTCTCTCCAGTAAACTCTGCTTGCACACCTCCACTTGCATCAACAGCAATAACAAAGACTTGACAGGCCAAATTAAACCCTTGGTTAAACTGATACAACCTGAATCCATTTGTATGCATCAAATTCAAGTAACTGAAATGTCTCAAATAGAACAGCAACAACACACTAAAAGATCTTTCAGAGAAAAAAAGGCAGAATTTAATCTCTGAAGCCAGAAGGCACAACTTTAAATACACTCAGAGAGCAGAACTCAATATCCGAGAAGGTATCTACACTGAACAACGTTTTTAAAGAACACGACTGTACCAAAAATTAATTTTTTTGTTTTCTAAATTTCCTGAAACATCCACTTTCACTCAGATTTCCAGACCTGTGGATATAAGATCACAGCATGCACTGAGCTAGTGAAGACGTACTGATGACAGAATACTACCCCCTCGGAGACGCCAAGTGCCAGTTTTTACTATAAATATGTGCTGTTGTAAGGGTACGACTATTTCATTTCCCAATTAAGTATAAATATTTAATTCAGTTCCTGAAAATCTCTCACTTTCCTAACTCTCACTACCCTCATGTTTTTTCCCCTCAAAGTTTGTTCACAGGTGTGGCGGTGCACCTTTGGTGCCCACCACTTTAAGGGACTTGAGCAGGTGAGAGCAGAGACAATCAGGTGGCCACGTGATAGCCATGAGGCCGCCTGATTGGAGGAGGGTTTGGCAGCCTGAGGATAAGACCAGGCCCAGGGAGCAGGGCTGGCAGCTGCAACTGAGCAGCCGACGGAGAAACATTGTGCGGCTGGAGGAGTCTGTTCCCAAAACATGACCATCTGGAGGTTAGGGTAGGAACTATGGGGAAGGAAGAAATTCCTAGGGACCCCGGTGGGGTCCAGAGCCCTTAGGAAGGGGCTGAGGGCCCGGGGCTGTGGAAAGGCCAACCTATAGTAAGAGGCTGTGTACACAGAGGCCCAAGGGAGAGAGCCAGGATGGCCTATTGAGAGAGGCTGGGTATACAGGGGCCTAGAGAAGATGCAGGCCAGCCCGAGCAGAAGGGTCTTAGAGTTTGTGGTCCTACGAAGGGGCTAGGTAAGCCCCTGAAGAGAGCTGTTGAGAGTATGGGTGACTAAGGAAAGGCCTGGGGAAACCCAGGGAGTGGGGCTGACCCTGGAGGGGTCTGTGGATCGGCTCAGATAAGCCCAATGAAGTAAAGGGTTGTTTTGTAGAAGATCTGTGGGGCTCCCAGCATGCCTGGTATGAGAAGACTGATATATAGAAGGGCCCAAGGTGGACCCCTACCACACCTGTACCTCCTTGGTGAAAAGTAAGTATGGAGCTCCGGAAAGCCTCAACCAGTGCTGCCATGCAGGTGACCCTGTGGAGGGGTCAGGGTAAGGGACCACACCCTGACACAAAAACAACAGGTTTGGACAACAGCAGAGGGGCCAGGAGGGCCTGAGGCCCAACGCGTGAGATAGCAGGGCTTATGGGCAAGACCATGGGGACCAGGAGAGCCTGATGCCCAAGGCCAGTGGGAATTGGCCTGAATTCAGAGCGAGGCCTAGTGAGAGGTCCAGGCATGTCGCAGGACACCCGAGGTCTGAGTGGGTCACAGGCTGAGTTTGAGATGCCCAGGGCCAGAGAAGGCCAGGGGCTGAAATCAGCCCAGAGTGTAGGGCGGTAGGCCTGACGCCCCGTCGTAGACTGCAGCCTGAAGGTCTGCAAGGGGTCAGGACCAAGCATGAGAGAGAGGAAGCCTGAAGGGCTATACGGAGTAAAGCTAAGGGGGCCTGAAGGGCTATACAGAGTAGGGCAGAGTGCATGTGGCTCATGGTGGGGCGAGAATGAGTGTGACCCAGGAAAAAGGGCAGTGTGAGCAAGACTCAGTTATGGGATAAGTGTAGAAGGCCAAACATAGGGACAGAATCCGACCCTAGAGAGAGCTAAGCAAGTGTCAACTGTTTGGAGGCCATCTGCGAGGCATGGGACATGGTAAAGGGAAGGTCGGAGCTGTGTATTTTGCCCTTGGCACCAGGGCTTAGAATAGGCAGCTTCCTGCTTAGACTAACATCACATTTTATGTAACAGGAAAGGCATGGCAGGCGAGAGAGGGCAGACTGCCCTAGACAGGTGGGCAGGCTGATGTCAAGCTCAGCTGGGGAAGGCTCCCTTGCACAACAGGTATCCGAGGGCTCCACCACTACATCTCCAACGACACTCACCAATTTGTAGCAAACATTTACACCAGTTTAAAATAGCTCAATTTACAAGGACTAGCCACAGACCTTTGTTTGTTACAAGTTAAACTTTTCTCTGGAGGCATCTGAAAGTGAAAAATATTAATGTAATACATGGTGTGGCGGCTGGGCCTTGGAAGGAAGGACATCGTAGTAAATTATTTAGAACTGCGAATTCTGTAATTTAGAACTCTTAGTATAACTTAAACAAATGGGAGTGTGTAGGCTTGTGAGCTCCCTCACCATCCCAGCAAGGAATAAAACCCAAGTCAAAGCCTTTTCTTCATTCTTCCCATAAGGCACGGTTTATTCATTCAAAGATGCAACCTAATACAGCCCAAAAAATATTTTCCTAACATACCCAGGCAGCCACCAAGAGCCCTTTCACTCTGTGCTTCTCTCTCGGCTTTAGACATCGGAACAGACATGTTGCACCCAGGTGAAAACACTCTTCAGCCCTCTATAGAAAATACTAAAACCTTTGCACAAACTAAACAGGACTGAATGGCCCCGATTTCCTCAAAGGAACACAGAACCCTATCACAGGATAACTTAAACCTCTACCACGTTATATATATTATGCAATTAACTAATTAATTATGCTATAAATTTAGACTAGCCACCCATGCAAAGTAATTATCACACAGTTAACTGGTTAATCACGCAATAAATTTAGACCAGCCACAGATGCAAAGTAATTATCATGCCATAAAAATGACTATTCAGTTACAAAGAAAGTCAACCAGCTACCACGTTGGTGCTTGAAAATAAATGAGTAACAGCTCTAACTGATTTCCATCCATCTTTAATTTTAACACGAAGAAGGGCCCTAAGATTTATAAAAATACTAAATGAAAAAAAAAGTACTCAAATAGTTTTCATCTGACACAGCAAGGTCTAAATTCTGATCACCTTACTCATTCAAGCACTCAAGTAAATTTGACCTATTAAAGAAACTGTGCTTCCAATGAAAACTGTAAAACACAGGATCTGCTTCTGCACATCACACATGTATCTGCAAGGCAGATTTTAATCCAAATTACTTTCATTTTTCACTCATTCGGAAAGGAAGCTGCTCTGTGATGCACAAGATAACCTTTTAAGAACCCAGAAAGGTAACAGCGCTAGTATGATGCGGCACATAACTAGATTTATTAAGGACACTGAAAAACGGTCCTCCTTCAGTTATTCAAACTGTCATACTTACACACATATGTTTCCTGTAAAGTTAATGTGTGGACATCTGTGTGGTTTGCACATCACAGCAACAACAGCGATCTGTAATAAGAAGAGTTGCATAAAATAAAAACTATAATCAATAGTATTACAAAAACTAAATGCATCCTGGAATTGTACAGACAGGCACATGTGGGAACTATTTTAATTTTCTCCAACTCAGTTTTATTTCTAAAATGCTTGCACATTAGGTCTTTTTGAGAAAAGGTACTTGCTGTGACAAAACTGATCAGCATCAAATGTAACAGTAGCATAGCAATGCCAATGCTAAAAGGGCTATTCATGGTTCAGTGTGGTATAGCAGCAGGCCATGTTCCTGCTATATAGGACTACTTTTAGAAGTAGAGTACCCATGTCAAGTTGGACATCATAGGCACACTGCCAAGAGACAGAGTAACATTCAGTCCTCATTAGGACAAACTACTGCACTTTGGGCACAGGAAGTTCACAACAGACACTGAGGAGATAAAAAAGAAAGCAAACACAGAAAAGGAAAAAATATACATTCATCTCTTGCTGTGATGAAGTACATCTAGATGGCTCAGTTATAGCACCAGGCAGCATTGTGTCAAGACATCCAGCTCCTATTCCACAGGCATTATCTTCCAAACCACCTCTCACACAATGGTCTTTGCATGGTGCTACATGCACACCAATAAACTCTACTGTGGTACCAACAATGCTTCTGGTTTGGGAGATGCCATATGCTGAGCAGGCATCGGTACAGCACTATCTGGTGCCATCACTGCACGGAAAGCAACTCCCTGCACTCCCAAGTAACCTTTTCTCCCATGGTCTCTCACAGCTTCTCAAAGAGGAAAAGAAAAGAAATTTGTGTGGATGGGATCAATGTAAGGCATTAGTTTCCCTTTTATGTGAAAAGGGAAATAAAATCTAAAGACGTGAGTGTCCAACCTCCCAAGCATCTGTTCGTTTGCGATTGCAACAGCACAGTTAATCCCTGCACTGCCATAGGGAATGGCCTCAATAACATACTTCTCTAGTATTTTTTTTTAATTTTGCATTTGCGCATGTATTAAAACTCAAAACATTTACCCGATTGTTAGCTGTAGTTAAGTGTTACCACCGTTTGACCCTGACCATCTTTCTAATGAACAGTTTTTAGAAATTATTAACATCTCATTACTAAACCATTAATGAGCTAGCTAGCAGCAGTATAAAGGCTTAAGTTTTAGTGGGTATTGTTTGCAGGGTGACCAGTGAGAGCAAGTCATGCCAACCTGGCTAACAAACTGAGGTTGTTGCCCCCCCTCCTTCCCTTCTTGGTGAGATGCTTTGTAATCTCACCTTGCCCACAGCACCACGGAAGTGACAGCAGAGGAAGCTGTTAACACAAACAAACCTCACTAAAGCTACTGGGACAACCAGCATCTTTACAATGATTGATATTTAGATGTGCCTTTAGATGTAATGGTGCCTTTAGATATAAATATACAATGCTCACCCCACTAGCAGTTCGAATAGGCTTTGCCTTCAGTTTGGGTACCAGCACCTTGCGGTACTGAGGTGGAACTGCAGCAATGATGTCAACCAAACGAGGCTGTGCTGAGAGTCTGTACTTAGCAGATGTCTTGGTTTTCAGCCTAAAATGAAAGCACCACCAATTATTTTCTTGTAGTCGTGTTCTTATATAGATAGTATATCTTATACTCGCTCTGGAAGCCACGCACCTATCTACAAGTCAGTTGAGCAAGTACCAAATTCCTGTTTACAACTTAACAGATAGACGAACGCATCTTACAATGATGCTGTAAGAGTTTACTTAAAAGCTAATGCTAGTTGTGCGTCACAGCTAACACTGCACAGTGCAGCAAGGCATACAAAACCCCGATAAGCATTGATCTAAACTAAAAACAATTTTAAGGTTTTGAATTTCTACTGAGGTTGTTTGCCAAAGACATTTGACTCCCCCGCATTAGAGTTGTCCAACAGCCATCCTGCAAATTCAGATTCCAGTAAGGTTCCTTCCCTTTATCACAAATAAAACACTTAGTAATTTATTCTGCGAAATCCTGTGCTACTGTCTTTGGATGAGAGCGCAAGGCTGGCAATCCATTAGGAACCTGAAGTAAACCGAGTTCCTAGTTTCAGCAGTTATTCTGCCTTTACGAAGGTTTAACCGAAGGTAAAATATTCTAACAATTCTATTCACTACGTGGGAATCTGAATTTAATCCAGGTCACTTTCCCATAACTGAGATGACATTAACAGACTGGATAGACTAGTAGTTCTCAACATTTTTAGACTCACAGCACCCCTAATGCCAGCTCCTAACTTTCACTCAATTTTCTGAATCCAGAAAAACTCTATAACGAGTCTTCTGTTGCAAAGAACTCAACAAGCTCACAGCAGATCAGACTGGTTTTGACACGGGATTCCTATTTGAAATCTCCAGGTTCATCTCGTGAAGCACACGTAGGTGTTTCCGCACCAAAAAGCATTAACATCATGTGACATGCTGTGGCACTCTTAAGGTGCCACAGCACCCTGGAGAAAAAGCCATGAGACAGATCAACAGAGTTAATAGAACAAGAGGCTCATTTATGGCTTTTTCCTTCAGATCACATAAGCCCCGTGTGTCCAACACGGCATAGGTCCCATGGGGCACATATAAAACGTTAAGCGTGTGGTATAAGATAGACCAGTGGTTCTCAAACCTTTTTGTACAGGACCCATCTGTAAACACTGATGGCCTATCTCAACCCAGCGCCCCTCACTCCCGACTCCCAGCGTGTGGGGCAGGGGGTGGGTGCGCGTGGGGCATGGGGCAGCCCCTTGCAGACTGGAACTCCAACAGCCTGCAAGAGAAAACCCACGGTTTCCCTCTTTAAAGTTTGATCACGACCCTTTCACTTTTGGGTCGCGCCCCACGGCTTGAGAAACACGGAGCAACCTCTTCGAGTTACCACGCAAACCAAATTCTGCAAGACCCTTGAAGATATGTTTATACGCATTGCCCGTGCACCCCCTGGAAGCGCCAGCCGCGAAACCGGAAGTGCCAAAGGAAGTGCACTTCTGGTTTGGCCGCTGTCTTGGCGACTGGCTGCTGGGGGACCCCCGCCCCGTCAGCGATCTGGTGTCCCCCCAGACTCAAGGCACCAGTCGCCTATGCTTATGTGTCACCAAGACGTGGCAAAAGGAACGCAGTTAGTACAGGGAAACCGGCGTTCATGTTGAGGGACGTAGGCTGCCCAGGGGAAGGGGCACACGAAGCCCGAAAGGCATCAGGAACAAGATCCCAGGCCGGCACAACTTACTTGTTCAGGTTGACATCTTTGCCCTGCTCGTGCGCCTCGACCAGCTGCTGGATGATGTCGGCGATGGTCATCATCATCAGCTCCGCCCGGCTGAGGGCTCCTGCAAGGGAGACCAAGCCCCACCGGGATGCAAGACCATAAGCAGGAGCATTACTGGCTCAGGGTCCCTCCCTCCCATGTGCCCCCCTGATGGCAACACCTGCCCTCGAAGCCAGGTCGGCCACGTGCTCCTAGCACCTCGCCTACCACCATTGCGCATGCGTGGTGCGCCAACCACGCATGCGTGCGCTCCCCCTCCTCAGAGGCCCACTGCGCATGCGTTCGCTCCCCAGCGAGGTAACGGCCCCGCGCCCCCTGCCGTTGAGCATGCGCGCGCTTCCCCCCTCAGACCAGCGAAACCATCCGGCGCATGCGCAGGCTCCACCCAGCCCAAGCACTGCGCGTGCGTGCCCGTCTCCCCTCGCTTTTCCACGCAGCCCCCGCCACGGCCCCGGGGGAAGTGCGATGCGGCGGGGCCTGATCCTCCTCCTCCCCCCCCCCCGCGGTACCTTTCTTCTTCTGCCTCATGTTGCAGCGGGCCGAAGCGCCGCGCACCTCCATGGCTCGCACCGCCGACCGAGACGCTCCCCTCGGCGCGCTGTCGTGAAAGGCCGCACAGGGCTAGCCGTGCTGCCGTAAAGCAGCGTTCCCTCTTGCCCTCCCTCCGCGCATGCGCGGCCCAGCTGGGAGGGGCGGGGCCAGGAGCCCTTCTAGAGGGTGGGCCCTTGTACTACTACTTTAGAGTTCTAGAGCCAGAACACGCCGCCCCCAGCCTAGAACCCCGTTGCATCCCTTCTAGAACATCCCAGCTAGAACGAAGAGGCCCCAAGCCCAGTCTAGAACCCCTTTGGAGCCTTTGTCCCAGGCCTGAGCTAGTCTAGAACCACTCCTGGAGCCGTTCTAGAAACCCCAGCTAAAACACACTGCCCCCTGCTGCTGGGACGTCCAGTCTAGAACCCTTCTAGAAAATCCCAGCTGGAAGACATTGAGCCCTGGTGCTGGGGTGCCCAGTCTAGATCCCCCCCCCCCCGAGCTTTTCTAGAACTCCCCTGCACTGGGATGTCTGGTCTAGAACCCCCTGGAGCCCTTCTCAAGTGCCCCACTTAAAACGGGGCCCCTGAGCTTGGGTGTCCAGTCTAGAACCCATCTTGGATCCTGTCTCGAACACCTCAGCTAGACCACGTGGACGCCCTGAGTTGGGATGCCCGGTCGAGAACCTCTGCTACGTCGGTAAGACTAAACCCACTGATGAGTTTCTCTCTCCTCCCACAGCTGGCTCTTTGGGAGAGGTGCTGCTGCCCCACATGTTTGATTGCAAGGGGGATATCGTCTTCCCCTCCGAACACCACACGGGGCAGGCAGAACCGCTCCGGCCAGGTCTTCCTGAGCATCGTCTTGTTTTCTGCCACCGCTGAAACGCTCTTCTGCGGTCCAAGGAAAGGCAGGACTTCCTTCCAACGGGAGGCAGGGGTCTAGTATAACTGACTTCAGTGGGAGTAGGAGAAGGCCCGCAGCCAATTTGCAGTTAGACGCTGAGAAGCTGAAGATGAAAAGACCTCTCGGGTGCTACTGAGTGCTGGCGCTCACGGCAAGGCTGTTTCTGACAGCTAATTTGCCAGTGTTTTTATTCAGTTTAATTGCAAGTGTCTCAGTGTCACAGGTGTTCCTCCATTTCACCATGGGCAATATAGGAAACACAACCATTCACCTTGGGCCTGCACTGTTCAACATCATCAGCGACTTGGACGAGGGGGTAAAAAGCACCCTATTCAAATTCACAGATGACACTAAGGTGTGGGGGGAAGTGGGCACGCTAGAAGGCAGGAATAGGCTGCAATCAGACCTGGACAGGTTCCAGGGGTGGGCGGATGAGAACAGGATGGGTTTCAACACTGACAAGTGCAAGGTGCTGCACCTGGGGAGGAAGAACCAGCAGCACACCTACAGGCTGGGGAACTCCCTTCTCGTCAGTGCAGAGGGAGAGAAGGATCTTGGAGTCATTATTGAGGCCAAAATGAACATGGGCCGACAGTGTAGGGATGCGGTCAGGAAGGCCAACCCCACCTTGTCGTGCATCCACAGATGCATCTCGAGCAGGTCCAAGGAGGTGATCCTCCCCCTCTACACGACACTGGTCAGACCGCAGCTGGAGTACTGTGTCCAGGTCTGGGCACCGCACTTCAGGAGGGATGTGGACAGCATGGAGAGGGCCCAGAGGAGGCCACCTGCATGACCAGGGGGCAGCAGGGCAGGCCCTACGAGGAGAGGCTATGGGACCTGAACCTGTTCAGCCTCCACAAGAGAAGGCTGAGGGAGATCTGGTGGCCGTTTACAAACTAGTCAGGGGGGACCAGCAGGCATTGGGGGAGTCCCTGTTCCCCCGAGCACTACCAGGAGTGACTAGAAATAACGGTCAAGAGCTGGCAGAGGGCAGATTCAGGCTAGATACCAGGAGGCGCTACTTCACTGTCAGGGCGGCTAGGATCTGGAACCAACTTCCAAGAGAAGTGCTGGCTTCTACCCTGGGGGTCTTCAAAAGGAGGCTGGATGAACACCTTGTCAGGGTCGTTTGACCCCAGTGCTCTTTCTGCCATGGCAGGGGGTCGGACTTGATGATCTGCTCAGGTCCCTTCTGACGCGACCAACTATGAAACCTCCTTATTCCCTGATAATCGGTTTCAAAATTCTCCTGTCAACATCTTTCCGTTCTTCCTAGTTATTAGTTATCATGATTTACTTGCATTTAGGTAGAAGTTTGAGGCACCAGCCAAACTTTGGGGCTTGTGTCAGGACCTGTACAAACACATGAGAAGATGTATCAGCCGTGCTGACCAGCTCCTCTCCATCTTTAATATCTGTGGTCTTGGATAATGACATCCAGTTGTCAGGAGATCGCCAACTACCCATCAACAGTTTCTCTGCTCATTGATATCCATACAGCCTGTCTGTGCGTAGTTCTTGTGATCTTTCCTCATAGGAAAATTGTGATGGAGTTTATGGCTAACAACATTTTAAGTTTGATATACGTTTCTATTTACTACCTAGAAATGCAAAACACTAGAACTCTTGGTTCAGAGATGATGCTTTCTATTAGACCAGCTAAGAAATTGCAGAAAATATATATATCTTTTTCTGCAAGCTTCTGGGCTCACGTGCCCTTCATCAGGCTCAGGGAAAAAATTAAAGATGGTAAAAAGTCCCGATAAGTAGGAAATAAACTTCATTTTTGCAGCTCTTTACAACCTAAGGGGTTGGTAATACTACCGCACAACACAAGGTGGCAGCACAGTATTTTAATTGGAAGCAGCAGATCAAACCTCGATCCCACCATTGCTGTAATTTTAAAAACTTCCCAATTGGGGAGAAAAACCTAGCAACTGGGATCCTGATATAAAGTGAATTTGAAAGGGGCTGGATCTCGGGAGGCGAAGGATGTGGTGGAAAGGATGCTTGCAAGCGTGCTCTTTGCCTGTCTCTCTTGCATCTTCTTTCATCCCAATTTGCAAATTAGGATGAAGGAAGACGATAAAGAGACAGAAAAAAGGGAAGAAACAAAAGGATGCTAAAAAAGGCTGGGATTGCCAAGTGATTCAGAGCTGAAGCAGATGGGGGCCAGATTCAGATTCATTTACATAGATGCAAATCAAGTGAAACCGCCTGACTGCTGGAATCACACTGGGGTAGCCAAGATCAAAGTGACTCGCAGACAAAAACAAACTGAGCAGAATGAGGCAAACAGCAGTGAGCTGTGGTGGGTGGTTATGGGCAAGAGGCACTGATGTCACTGTGCACCTGCTACAGGGAGAAGAGCACTTGGGACCTGCAGCTCTTTAAATCCCGGTCTCCACAACTTGAGCTATAGAAGAATCTCCCTTAGATATCATCAGGGATGTGGGGAAATGGAAAACAAATGTGGATTTTCCCGTCTACCCAAGAAAAACGTTGACTTTTTCATTTGAACGGAGATATACATGGATTTTCCACTTTTGCAAAGAGCTCTCTGCAGGCTGGCAGAGCTCCAGCCTGCAAGGGGCTGGGGCAAGCAGGAAGAGGGCGGTCGGGCAGGGGGTGCCATAAGCATGTGCACGCTCACCCATGCACCTGGCTGCCAGGTAAGTCTGGTGAGGGAGAGGGAGATGGAGGCCCCCATAGGGAGGGAGGGAGGGAGGGAGTTGGGCAGGTGCTGGGGCTGCTGCCCAGCCAGATGATATGTGGGGCCTGGGTCCAGAATGTGCAGCCACAGGGGCCGCGTGGGGAGCGGGACATCCTTGGGCAGCTCGTCCAGGGGGCAGGGGAGGTGGGTCTGACTCCCCACTGCTGCATGCACTGCCAGGGAAGCATGGGGGGCACATGCCCCCCAAATCTGTGCATGGTTCAGGCTGGCTGCCCCCTCTCTCTGAGGCCTCTGCAGCCCAGCAGGCAGGACCCAGCCTGGCAGGGCAGAGTGGGACCAGATGGGGAGGTGCCGTCGCTGAGAGCCCCATGCCACCCAAGTGAAGAGCCCCCTGCCCGCCTGGCAGCAGTGGGGGCAGCAGCACAGAGTTGTGCCCCTTGCTGCTGCCAGGTGGGCAGGGGGCACTTCACTGGGGCAGCGTGGAGCTCCAAGTGACAGCAGTGAGCTTCCCTGCCTGGCCCCGCTCTGCCGGGTCCCACCTGCTGGGCTGTGGAGGCCCCAAGGGGAGGGCAGCAGGGTGAGGAGCCTGAGCCTGAGCCTGCAGCAGGCAGCCCACACCTGCCCCCACCTCCTCCATGGGCTCCACTCTGGCCATGACACCCATGGGAGAGGGGGAGTCAGGCGTGCGCTCCGCTCCACCACAGCAGCAGCCACCGCCTCCTGTGAGAGGGGGCCAGGGCTTGGGTGCTGCTGGGGGAGGCAGGGGTCTGAGGACCCTGGCCCCGTAGCCCTGGCAGCTGGAGGCCCCTCTGACAGAGCTGGGAGGGGTGGGGAAGCCTGTGGGTGAGGAGTGAGGGGCACCAGCAGGGCCAGGGAGGATGTGGGTAGGAAGTGTGGGGCCTGGACCTATGTCCCAGGGAGCTAAGGGGGCAGGGGGAGCTCTGATTTTCCATGGTAAGAAACCCAAAATCAAATACCAGAATCTATAGGTACTTAGAATATATTTTATTATAGTAATTGAGGCACTGGTAGGTTTCCAAATTGCTTTAAAGCTATATATATATCAATAAAACATTGTGTTCAGTTGAGACCTATATACAGAGTGGTGTTTCATTTTAATTGTGGATTTTGGGGGTTTTTAATCAGAGAATTTGCAACTTTTAAACACAGAAAACCAGGATCCCTGGTTATCATCGCCACTGTTGGGTATTGGGTATGCTG